AAACCTAAACTCGAATCAATATGACTCTGTTTCATCCAACTACTTACTATATAGCGTCATTGTTGCCATTGTTGCTTGTGACTACTTGAAGAATACAAACAATTGGACGGTTGATGAAAATTAAAAAAAAAAAATTTAAATTAAATTTCTACTAAAGTTCACACTTTCCAAAAATACACCTACCAATTGTGCAATGCATTTCATTGTTCTTTATATTAATATTATTCTATTAAATTTTTATAACAGCACATAAAAAATTTACATTACACAACACTTCACAAAATGAGATGAAACAAACGGTTACAGTTAATAAATTAAATCGAAAATTGCACTCTGTCGGATTTCTGAACTATTATATGCGTTTCATATGGGGATTTGGACCATATATCTATTCCAATTCTTAACTGTTCTACGGAATTATGTATCTGTTTGCACGCATCAATTAAACAATAGCAGAAATCACATAATTGGATTAAATATAATTCATTAATCTTCGGAAACGGTTGCTAACGTTTACAGTCTATTAGCCAAGACATTGCCTTTGATCAAGAATAACTATTGGGTTCGATAGTACACAAATATAACTTTACTCCAACGTTTCACACACGAACTAGAATGAACCCAAAACTAGGGTCAAGTACCTATAATAAAACGTCACATAACCTGTCTGCCCCTGGATACCACGTCCCGCAATTTCTCTGGGAAAACTGAAACACAATACATCCGTATCAAGTTGTAAATATTAATCCGTTTATTTCGTAATAAACAAAGCAAGTAAGGTTACGATATGCAATGTTCAAGTTTACCACTAATTATAGTGAATCAAAAAAATCGCAAAATATCGATTGAAGAAAAGTATTCACTATTCTGTGAACTGCACTGCCCTATGCAGAAATTTATATCGTTATAGTGCATTGGCAAACTAAGGACGGTTCGAAGCGCGTTACCGACATTGAGCAGGCCGGAGAGCGCGATTCGTTGGTCGGTTGATAATTGTAAATACTGTAGGCTGACAACTTCAAATTTGAAAGCGTAGGAACGCTTCGTGAAAAGTTTTGGAAAAAGCCCAAAGTCTGCTATTTCACTTGCTTTTTAAAAATATATTCTTGAATACACAATTTCTCCTCTTCGCTGAAAAATATTCTACCTGTATCTATACACTGAATCTTGGTTAATTGGTCAGTTCCTATCACAATATACGAATCTTCTCTTGACAGTGAATATCTAAGCCTGATTATTTACAAACAAATGGAGTTTCTCTTCGCTGATGTTCGTTTCCTGTCAAGCTATCTAATGTCGACCGCATAATGTCAACCATAGTCTGGTTACCACCTTATCTCAAATTTTTTGATTGCCAAAATCACCCTTAGCTAAGCATTAGTTATCATTGGTCCGCGTATAAAATGAATAGTAGATTCTTAGTCCATGGCTGGCACGAAATTCTGATAAAAGATAAATCTGCACCCCTCAAGTCGCGTGTGTACGACAAGACGAAGGGCGCTAAATGGACCGTGAAATCACATGACGTAATTCTGACACGACTACACGGAAAGATTAATTAGTATAACAAATCATTAGTATAACAATTGCAAAAACATCTTAAATCACTTATTGCAATAGTTAACTCTATTTTAATCAAGAAGTTTAGATTTATTTATTTTATTTTTATTCATTTTAAAAAAAAAAATAATAATTCGACAAACGCGGGCTACATCGCGTGATGTCATAACGTGACTGTTATAACAAATTAACCACAAATTATTTGCCCCCGTTTTCCGATATGCGAGAACTGCCAACAAAGCGATTAGAAGTTTTCCTCGTGTCGAAAGGTCAAGATTCAACCACGTTTTAACGCCATTACGATGTGATTTTTAGGTAAGCACAGTAGGATGCAATGCAAGTATAAATCACCCAAAGTTCTTCCACTTGACCGAAGTTAGCAGTAAAGTAATATTGGCAAATGCAAAACAAATCATAACCCGCTAAATAAACAAACATCCCTTTCTTGATCGCTATTTTTGTAAAATTCCAACAATGAGCTGAAGCATTAGTAGGAAACAAGATGCACAAAGTCTCAAATCGGTTTTTAAATAAAAAATTACGAAATTTACTCTCTCACACTTTGCGTAAAAAATATTTTTATCGAGAAGATATAGCTACATGCCAAAATGTTTTGATAGATTTGATTAAAACCGGATTATGTCCTTGGACGTGAGATCGCTCTCAACTCTTGTACGCTCCGTTCATTAATACATCAATGGCTGTTCAGATGAGTCCAGATATGAGCTACGGAAATGTTTATTAAACCTGACTACACAACTTCATCTAGATTATTACTTATGCTAGACTCACTATTTTTTTACATAGTAAACAGACTTCACTTGTTAAATTTCTGGATTTTTTTGTATGCTGGTTTCCTTGCTGACAATCCGGCAATTATACTAATATGATATTCTGTATATATCAATTCTACCGGAATGATTGAAATTTTGGGTTTGAAGCGTGAATAAGAAAGTCATCCTAGAGTTGAATTTCCGAATCATTATCGTACCATAAAATTTTGGGATGACTTAACAAAGGACAGATTTGTTGAAACGTATATTTAGGATAAACTTACCTTTGTGGTTCTATATCAGTCAACCACAAATTATATACACAAGGTGTTTCAATTACATGTCTGGAAAATCAGCCGATGGTAGCGACAGGAATGTCGCAATACTAGCTGGTCATAGTGAAAAGGAAAATCCTGCAAAGAGTATAGAAGTAACAATTCGAGCACTTTTTGATTCAACTTTATATCCTTGTGAGCACTGATTCCACAAGTCCAAATCTTTGAAGCACGGAATTCTGCATTTGAGGAGATTAATGTTGTCTACTAGAAGCTTGTTCCAGCTTCTAAACAATATTTATAATTACTCTGGAACACTAGATTGTCTTTTATCTTATAAGAAGTCTTGAAGCCTAAATATTCCTTTCTTAGTCTACAATCAAAGAGTTATCGTCGAACATAACCAACAATTTGAACACGTCTCTCTGGGCAAACTCTCTTGGTGCATGTAGTTATTTTAACACTCAAAATGCATTTGGAATTTACAGAGTACGCTTGAATAGTTGCGGGATTACGGAATTAACTGAATTATTTTTGTCACAATGGGACAATTTTTCTAAGTGGTATATTTGTTAATTTTGGGCCGTTCTTGCTTTAACATAAACAGTACAGATTTTGTACGCGTATCGGGTCAACATAATTTGGATTTAGTGACGTCATTGGGTTTATATTTTTATCACTCAAAACAATAGTGCATTAAAGAGAAGCTTTACCGCTTTGGTCAGTTCGTGTCCAGTAACACCCTCAGATTTAATCATGTTTAGGGGTTAAAGTGGGATTAACCTTCTTAGGTGACCACGAACTGACCTGGTTCACCTCACTTGGATAGGGTAATTGCCCTAAACAACGGTCAAAAGTAAGAGTATTCAATTTTATTCTTACAATTTTAAAACATTCTTCAGACTATATAGGATAGTTCTATAACATATTTTTCGTAAGATTTGACTTTATTGAGCCAATAAAATGTAATAACGAAATAACGACCAAGCAGATACCAAATGCCGGAATGGTCTGAATGAAATTCAAAACTTATTATTCAAAATTATGTCTGGATTGATAAATATTGAGTTCGTCATTTTTACAATAAGTTCACGACTCATGTACATTACACAAATCGTTCTACTGAATTTTTTTTTCCATAACGCCAGAGACATTACATATCTAAAATACTAGAGATTAAACCCACCAATCCGCCATTTGAATCATATTGAATAGATGTTGAATATGTGTAATAATACCTTGCATATAAATATCAATATGAATGAAAATATTGTGAATACAAATCTATTCACCAAAAAATATTTTTTCGTTTGTCCCATGAGAGAAATTTAATATTTTTGTCGGAGAGGAGAATATTAGCCATAACTGTTTAATCGATTGATGACTTGTGGTCAACATCTAGCGGATGGCATGAGTGAATATCATTGGCGTGGGAAAGGAGCCTCTGAAATGTTTGTTCGTTTCGGTTCGGAATGCTTGAATATATTATGAATATAATATAGACAAAAATCATAGCACTGGCGATTTGGTACAGGCAAGGAAGATATCAACAGCGACATCGATTGGCATGAGTGAAGCTGTATTAATGACATCATGAATGCAATCTCGCAAGGTTGAAAACTGTGATTGCGACGAATTAAGTCATATAACTTAAAGCATTCCAAATAAAAAATGAAAATATGTAACAAATAAAGAGATATTAAACTGACATCGCATCTGGTTAGAAGAAAAATTTAAAATACACTGAACGCAATTATGTCTTGCAATGATTACTTTGATATCTAAATTTTTGCATTGTTTCTACTTATTCCTTCTTCTTTTTGTACCACCTGTCTGAAATATTTATGTATTCCACTGCCCGTGCTGACATAGACATTCTACCTAATTTTACGTTTTCCTTAGTTGCTTCCGTTGTATCTTTTTTCTGGTAATAATAATTAACAGTGTTGTGTACACCAATCAACTGCTTTACCACTCAAGCTCCGACTTCTTTGTCACAGTTCATTTATAATGAGGGGGGGTTTTGTTTTTGTTTACATTCGTCGGATTCAGATCTGCCGTCTCTTTTTTTGAATAAGGGCGGTTCAATTTTGCAAAGGTTAGCTAGTGAAAAGTATATGCAACCAGGTAGTTCAGAATATTGGCAAGGTGCAAAGTCCAGAATAAGTTTTAGGTGAAGTGACAGACAGATTTGATTGTTTTTGGTTCAACCGTTTTTCTGTCCAGTCTTGTGCTACGTGGTATGCTACCACACTGAAATTAGATATGCAGTTAACTCAAATTTATTTAGTGCAAATATTTTCCATTTTTATGCTTATTTGACGGATTGCTAATACCTTTCCTAACAACCAAATTTCGGATTATATGTAAATGTGGTGACCCTATATTAGGTATGGTCCCAAGGTACGCTTTGAAAAGATAAATGTTTTTATATCAAGTTCATACCTAATGTTAGGAAACTTACTATTGCATGTCATATGAAATCACCATCATATGTTATTTGAATATTAATGATTGCCTCCATCTTGAATATGTCGTTGAAAGGTTAAGTTGATAACTGATTGACTGATACTGTCAGCGATTCTAAATGGTCGTATTGTTAGATTAAGGTTAGGTTCTGTATCTTATTGATTGATCTTTCACATGACTGCTTATTTGCATTTTATTTTATTGTAATATTTTATCCGATCCGTTTGGTCTTTTATTTTTTCTCTGTGTGATTTTATCTAACGAGTAGAATTTACTCATTTAAAAATGAAATATTTTTAGGATGTAACGCATTTTCGACTGTGTCATTGTGTCAAATTACAATTTACAAAAGTGTCTTTACAATTACAATAGTCTTCGGAAAATATTTGATAAAGATGTAGATTTATTGAGGCATTGTATTTTAAATTATTTTTAATTAACTTTCAACGTACTTTGTTTGTCAATATCTGGCAACAATACTGCGTCACTATTTTATATTTATTGTTCCATCCCTCGCTCATTTTGTATCTGGTCTTACCTTGCTTCCAAATTCCAATGATTTGAGGTTATATATCAAGTATAGTCGTGTATTAATTTGGTTTATTGATTATCATTAGTCAATTGGATAAAAATATTCAAAAAGAAACATTAACATAAATGAATACACGCAGAAGTTCTATTGATCTATTCGATATATGGTATACTATAGTTATTATTTTTATTTTTATCGTTGTTCAATATATTTAGAGTGATTTGAAATGTTTTTCTCTCGACTCTCGAAATTAAGGGTTGGTTCTTATTTTATTATAATCTTTCCAGGCTTTCTTAGATCGCCCGGTGACACCTCTGGAACACAGCTGCTTATCTACCGTTGCTCTTCTGAATAGGCATCCCATTTTTATTTTGAGGGTTGTAAAGTTGAGTAGAAATATTCACAAGGTATGGGTGAAATTAACTTTATTTAGAATATACACAAGTTTATTAACACCTCAATGAATGGTTATTGCTTTTTGTTGATTTTACGTCATTTTTCAGAAGTTGCTCCACCGGGTCCGAACTCACCTTGCTTCACGTTTGTTGATCAATAAACTTGCGCGCTTTACAAGCGCTACCCGAATACCCGACCCCAGGTATGATTCTATTGATATTAAGGGACTTAGCCGAAATCGCCATGGACTGAAAAGGTGAATCAACTCTGGCTGGACTCGAGTTTAGCGTGTTAATGTGGTTGCTGGAGTCGTAAAGTTTTAATTCCCCTTATTCGGGAGTCATAAACGGATTTTAATAAGTCGCGAGCCATTATTTGTTGCATTTTTAAACCGATATTGTTGAAGTCGAAATTTTTTATCGGAGTTGAAAATGTCCCTCAACTTGGGAGTCTGGAATCAGAGCACGAATCAGTCTCTGAAATTCAGTTAATCAGGAAAGTAGAGTCTGGCTAGAATGAATTTTGAATGGCGCTCAAATCAAAATGTATACTTTTGCTTATTTTGCAGCTGTATGTAACCCTGGCCATGATTTTCTGAGTCTACAATTGCGATATAGTACCACTTCCATTGTCGTAAATTACAGTGATTTAGATCTTCACTACTTGGATCTCGCTCTTACCTTTTAGCGATTCCGCTTCAATCTCCCCACTAGCTTCTTTCAGTAAGTAGCGTTTGGCTAGTAACAACGTTTTGGTTAATTAAGAATGGTGGCTCTGCTTTTTTGTTTTTGATATTTTTATGTTGATAAAACTAAATAGTTGTAAACGTTTTTCTTTACTTAAAACCCAACGAGGTGTCAACATCTGTATCAAGCAGCTGATTGTGTCGCTGTTCGCCAATGAACATTATCATGCAATTAATAAATTGAATTTTTCGGACAAAAAGACAAACTTTCTTGGACGTTGCTATGTGGAGCTATGTTGCTATCTCCCCATTTATACTACTGGGGTGGGGGAATTTCACCAAAGTTTAAACCACTTTCCAAATAAAAATTCAGCGAAGAATCTGTTATGAAAACAGAAGCATATTCGTCTGTTTAAATCCGTTAATTGCACTGTATTTGTACAAATAGGCTAAGGTTTTCTCTTTTAGTCTGAGGGCTTGCTTGCCAATTGGTGGTGAGTGCGGGATCGATCGATCTATATTGGTTTGGTAGAATACAGTTTACCACAGTAGTCTTAGGTGAATATTTATCGTATATCGTTCCCGAACCATAAATAACTTTGTCTCATCACCATCGCTATATATTTGGAGTTTAATCTCGACCTAAAATATCCGAACCAGCCGAGTTTGTTCCAGATGCATGAACCTGACAATGTCGAGGAAGATATGATCTCCGACTCCCCAAGTCCGACTGAGAAGTTATTGTATAAATACGATTTTGTTGCCTTCACTGTTTCCCCGGAGTTGAAATTCTTAGTTTCCAACAGTTTCAGACTTTCGATGACAATGAAAGTAGTCAATTTATTTTCAAATCAAAAGTAAAAAGTTTCCCCACGCGAGAACGGTTAATGAATATTTAGCTTGTTCATTACAGTATAGCTGTTTCCAGCTTTAACTGATTGTATTTTTCTATTGAGACTTTTATCTGGTAGTTTAATTTCTAATATTTCCACGATGTGCGCATAGGTCTGAAAAAGTAGCGTATTTTTAGAAATTTTTTATTGTAGTTTGTTCCATTAATTTTATGTTAATATACCGTAACCCTTTTGTTTCATTTGATTGTGATGATCATGAGATTGTTTAGTGCGTACTGAGTAAATCTTTATTGATTGTAAGTAAATTTGAAACTTGGCAGTGTTTACGAACATGAACCGCGGTGACGCTGTCTTATAAAATTGATACATGACGCGCCGGCGTCCTCGATAAGTTGGACATAAAATTCAAATAGTACCCCCCGCGGTATGTAATTCTTTCGTCATGAGATATACCAACTCACATGTAGGCTATGTCTATAAATTGGAAAATTAGGCTTGTATATAGATCAACAAACCGACCGATAGATCAAAACCCAAGTAATGTAAAAGGAATCTTTCAAAGTTGAATAAAATAATTTATTTTCCAGATTTCTACAGTTGAGACAGTTCGCTTCGATTTTGGGGTATTTAGAAGAACCTTCGAAGTAAGTATTTGTGGAACACAATATTTATCCCGTTTTGAGTATATTATTCTAATATTCGAGAGATATATAGAGGAGTTTCAAATTTGGCGCGTATTCGTCTATTTGCAAAACCCAAGTAATGTAAAAGGAATCTTTCAAAGTTGAATAAAATAATTTATTTTCCAGATTTCTACAGTTGAGACAGTTCGCTTCGATTTTGGGGTATTTAGAAGAACCTTCGAAGTAAGTATTTGTGGAACACAATATTTATCCCGTTTTGAGTATATTATTCTAATATTCGAGAGATATATAGAGGAGTTTCAAATTTGGCGCGTATTCGTCTATTTGCAATCCTTAGCAAAGTCTTTCAGCCACATAGATGAAATGACTCCACTAACCACCAGTGGGCTCAGTGATTTTGCGGGCATCAAAAGCTCCGATGGCCCTTGTCGGACTCGTTGATGAGTCTTGGCAACCCAGTGACTGACCTCTACTGACTCACTCTAGACTTTGATTATCGGTCACTTGACTAAGGACGTCAAGCAACACTAACTTTCCGCAAAATTATTGTTAAATTCTGCTTTTATTCTTTTCAAATACAATTGCACTAATCGCAATAAATGACTTTGATCGGGGCAGGAGGGAATAGATGGCGGGGATCAATAACCCATATTGAATTTAAAAGTAAATCTTTTTGGTATAAAGCCCATTTCTTGCTGAATATTTATTGGTACTTTGGTCAAACAGGCTTTTCATGTTCTGTAGTCGAAGCTTAGGTGTATGTAGGTAAAATTCAGTTATTGGAATTAACGGAATTTGAAATCTATGTTCAGTAACCAGTATTAAACTACTACTCTTTTATGTTCGCAGGTTACCCAACCGTGGCCAGGAAGCATATGAAGATGATTCCTTATTTATTTGTAAAATTTACTAGTAATTTTTTCTTCACACGTAGTTCGATTCGTAATTTTTGTCATGCCCTGTTCACTGCGTGGCAAATAATAATTAACTCATTTTTTCTTGCATATCCACATTTTCATTTCAAGCATGTATCACGACTTGACCAGTTTCCGTTTAATTTTTCAATGTTATTACTATCGTTCGTTTTTAATAAAATCTGGCAACTGTACTCTCTGGTGTTGTCTATATTTTAGTAAGTGTGATGAATAGTACCGAGATTTGGCCAGTCTCGTTGGAAAAGATCGCAGTGCGAAATCTGGATACGGATAGGGTGCCCGTGGTCGGTATGACGTCACAACTAGGGAGCGTGATTTTTCGTGCCTACGGGCCGCGCTGTACGATACTTTATGTATGGCCGATCGCCTGCCATAGATAATCAAAGGATAATTACAAAAATTTACATTACAGCATGATCACGCATGTCATGGTTGTAAATTTCAGAAACTGCTGTTTTTCCGACTCTAGCCCTCCGATTTTTCACTTCTCTGAGGTATTTTACTTCGCGGTGACGTCATGAATTTCGAAATTTGCCAGTGCGTTAGACTGTTAGACCACGAACGTAAGTTACGGCAATGACCTAAGTTCTAATATTCATCTCTGAACTTTACAATTAACCTTTACGCAGAGTGGAAATACGAAGGAGCAGTATTAAAACGATAAGCTGCTTCGTCGACTGAGTAGGCAATGTCCAAACATACATATCAGAACTTAGATCATTCTAGGGCTTGCGTTCGTGGCCTAACGGCTAAAGGCGTTGACTTATAATAAAGTTTAATTTCTTATATTTGTTCAGTGTGTCCATGGTTCGAACATTGCTGAGCATTACTCAAATTAAATTCGGTGTTGGGAACCGCAGTCACTCGTGTCTTTCAAGCAAACACTGGCGAATTCCGAAATCCATGACGTCGCCGCGAAGTAAAATATCTCAGAATCGTCAAAAATCGCCAAAAAAGTGAAAAATCGAAGGGTTAGAGTCGGAAAAACAAGAGTTTTTGAAATCTATAACCAAATCATGCATGATCATGCTTGATCGGGGATAAATTCCCACGTTTATACTCGAATTATCTATGGCCGAGTATGGCCATACATAATAAAAATCGTCCCGCTAGCGGCTGGCAGGCCAGCGGGCGGGCGGCACCGCACGCCACGAAAAATCCCCCTCCCTATCCATGACGTCATACCGACCAGGTATTGCTTTCGGCTCTTGCATAGCGATCGATCCCTATACGTTTAGCAAGTCCATAAAATATGTTCCTCCTAATTTAGTTTTTAAACCCCGAACTACTAACGAAATTAAGTACCGTTGCCAGATTTTATTGATAAAAACACCAACATATAAACAATAGCAAGAAATCAATAATAATGGATTAAAAATTAGAAAAAATTATCACGTAAACTCACTTAAGTTATGAATACACTGAAATTCTAATCCACCATGTTAAAAATCATGAAGGCTATATTATTCGTTACAGAGAATCCGGCATGAAACCACACCATCATGGTTATCAAAAAAATAAAAAATAAATAAATGCAACAAAAAATGAACAATATATAAACATCAGTAAAATATTGCAATATCAACAAAATAACAGCTGCCGTGTTTTCCCAAAAATAGGATATATGGGTTTTCTTCTTTCGTCGAAAAATAACAGTTAAAAATAAAAATGCAGTTTGATAATAAATACGGAATTGTATGAACAATAAAAATCGAAAATAGAAGAAATACACAAAATGTAGCAAATGGCAATAAATTCGGTAAGCATAATAAAATGCAGTCGTAATACTAAATATGTAATACAAATATATTTCGAAGAAATCTTAAACCAATAACGTTTAGAAGCATGCAGTTTACTGATTTGAAGGTAAAGAGCACGTATGGTGTTAGAAATTGGCTGGTAAAATCTAATTCTTCGTGCTATTTATATTTTAACAAAAATTATTAAAATTAACGTCTATACAAATAAATCTGCTTGGGAGTCGGTCGAATTGTCATTATCAAAATCTGAGACTCCAATTTGTGAGTTTGAAAAATTAATATTGTAGTTTTTGTGTTCGATATAAATACCACAGACAGATGGTGATTACAAGTCACACATACACTCTCTGGGGGTAGAGTTTTGATAACACAGAAAAATAAGATGTATATATATGACAAGTTTATTCAGTAAAATGGAGCTGGAAACATTATGTCAAACTCAATGTGGCGAGCTATCATTGATTGTAGAGGCGTTGGGACGCAATTTATAAACGAATCCCCAATGTCGGAAGCAGAAGAGCAAAATATACAAATCAATCGGCAGTTCTTCCTTCTTTTGGAAGCGGGCGTAAATTTACTATTTCTGATCTTCTTGGTGTCTCAAGCGTGACATTGCTGATCGTTCACTATTGATTTATCTGAAAAAATATTTTCATGCTTAAAAATTTTTCATCGTATTAACAGTATTTGGATTGAGAGATGTGGCGACGGGTGTTGTTTCGACCCCTGATTTCGGGGCTTTTTTGAAAGCTGCTATAAATTTTTCACGTTTGCGTAGGTTTTTTAATCTCAAAAATAAGCATGACTACCATAATATGGTGCAAGTATAATAATACTTACTTTCATCAAGGCTATTTTTCGTTTTCTCGTGTGGGTTGATCCAACTTCGTTTCAACAAATTGTTCAGATAATCTTCACGTTCCTAAAAATGAAAAACAAAATTAGAATCGATAGGACTTCCTCCCATTTTGTTAGCAAATAGTATAACTGCCAAACAAAGAAATGCCATTCAAATAAGTTTTCCACCTTTACAAGTAAGCAAATCCAATTCAATCGTATTTTCCTGTATAGCGATCCGATTATTATAATCTAAGAGGTGAAACCCGGCTACTTTAGCATTGAATACAAGAGAGCTATGCTCAAATATATGAACACGTCACAAGATGCCGCTATTTTTTATTCAGACACATGCAAAACAAATCTCTTGAAGTAAAACAGAAATTTTTGAAATAAATAAAAGTAATAGCCTTCTGGCGAAAAAATCAGATATTGATCATTGAAAATTTCAAAGCAATTGGTCCGGTAATCAAAGAGAAAAGCGATTTTTTAAAAACGTGTCAAAGAACAAGAAGAAGAATGCCAGAATAAAATGCAAAACGATCGTTATGTCCACTGACGTGTCCTATTAACTACTATATATAGTCTCTAGAAACTTGGCTATGCACGTCCGGATACGACTTCACTACCAATGGATAACACTTCCGACTACAGAATGGTGGTATAAGATGGAGTGGTTAATGTGGTCGATTTAGGCTTCCTCCACACGCAAATTTAATGCACCCGGAAAAAATACCAACTGAATAATGTCATGCCCGCCAGGAACTGGTGACCGGACCAAGAAACCGTGGTTCGGATTAAGCCAGTCTTTCCCCCTTCCGGAATAAATAGGGAAACATTATCCATAAAGAGTTCAAGGTCTTAATATTAAGTAAAACCAAATGAATCATTTGTTGTTCCAATGGTTTTCATATAATTTCAGTTCAATCTCTTGAAATTCGTCTGAATGGATCTCGACGGGAAAATACAAAGTATAACCTCGACTAGTGGAAAAAAAAAACTTACCAATTTCGCCACTGCTCTGCTCGTTTTTACGGCTGTTGTGTTTAACTTGAAACAAAGTCGATTGCGGAATCTTACTAAAAATTTATATTCATCGAACATCTAAAAACACTACTATTACGAATTCTAGTGTCAATATCATTAAAAGAACCTTTAGTGCAACAAGCATAAGAAAATCGGGCGCTGACCAGGCAAATTAGTTAGTTTTGTATTGCGTGTTGGTCCCATCGTAGCCGATAAATAAGAGCAAAAAAACCTACCAATTTCGTCAATCTTTTGCTTGTTTTGTGTTGCTGTTGCATATGTAAAATTCCACTCTACGTCGATTTGAGCAGCTAAACACAATTTTAAGTTTTATTTTTTAGGAAGCAATTTTAATATACGAATTCTAGTGTCATGCGTTTGCATTACTATTTCGGTTATTGGTACTACTTAAAGAGATTGTATAATGCTAACTAATAGGAACATATCGTTTCCGATCAACCAGACCGTCCCAAAATTATATCACAACTGCATATTGACAGCTTTCAATATATATTTAAATTAACAACCCAATCCTAAACACAACTCACTCGGTGTACTGATTCCCATGCTCTATTATTTGCTCTATTTCCTTTGTCTTTTTTTCCTCCTCTTTTTTAGGAAGAGCAAGCAAGAGGTCGTCATTTGGTTTGCATGGTATTGCAGTAAAAGTTTCATATATATACTATAGATCTAGCGACTAGTAACCTAACTGCTGAAAGACAACTAAAAAAAAAGTCGCAAATTGAATCGACAGATTTTATTATTTATTTGAATTAATTAACAAGTTCAAATAATTGGAATTACAAATTAGAAAAGAATCACACAACTTCGTCACGCTAATAACAGAATTGCGTAAGACATTTTTAGCAGTTTTGAGAAAAACGTAAAAAACTTCCTAATGATATTGCTATGCCATTGAGAGTCAATAATTTGCCATAGTTCAATTTTTTGATCGTAGCCGGATGTTATCTTAATTTGTATGACGCAGTCATGTGGCGTCATAATGGCGCACTGTGACTTAGGCAGAAATGTGTCTATGACGAGGGGACATACGCAATTTTGCAAACTTTGCAACTTGCAAATTTTGTACCAGTCCTCAAAACCAAACAATCCAAAAACGAATGTAATTCTTAGTATATACGATGTCTAATCCCCAAAATAGCTAATCTGTTTCAATTACATTATTTTTTATGTTTAAAAATATATATTTCATCAATATAACACGCTCTGCACATCCACCGAAATGGGACTAAAGTTAAATATATATAGAGAATAAAACAGCAATGTACACCTATATGAAATCCAACCAAGGTGAATTGGACTCAGACAGTGAATATCACAAGTGCACGTCTGTAGTATAATTGAAATTTATAAGCGCTAAGCTAGCATCTGAGATGCAAAAACTTGAAAATCATTCGCCGAGGTTATTTTGCCTTTGTGACGTCACAATGGTCCTGCGTTAACAATGATAATTCATTATGACGAAACAATTGAACAAATTTGCATATCTTACAAAATCTCTATTCTTATGGGTTTCGTAATTCTTGAAA